GACAAACAAGACCACAAAATACAAGAGAAGCAAAAAAAAAAGCAAGCATAATCAAACACAAGAAAGACAAAACAAACCAGACAAAAAAGATTAGGGCAAAACCCAAACAGCAGGAAAGGCAAAATTCAAACAACAGGAAAGGCAACCCTAACGGGCCAACTACAAACTCCTAACCTCACCGGAACCCTAATCTAAGGGAGAATCCTGCAGAGGGAACTGAAACTCCGACAAGAGAGACGAGAATCCTAAGATAACGGGACTTAAGTGCAATTAGTGTTTTACGTTACCCAAGATAGAACTTTCGGTATCATCATAATACAATACTTCGTTAATCTTAATTTTTTCTCGAATGCATGGATATAATTTTTTTGGATTTATTTGAATTTTTTGGTTTGGTTTGGTTAATTTTTTTAAAAAAAATAGTATGGTTAGTTGTTAGTGCTTGATTTGTTGTAAAAAAAAAAAGAAAGATAATTTGAAATGATGGTTAGTCAAAATTATATGAGTGCATGAATATTGAATTAAAGTTGATGTGGTATGTAATAATGATTGGTTGATATTATTTGATTATATTGATAATATTGATGATAGTGAGGTTAAATTAAATTTGAGTTAAAAAAATGAGTTAAAAATATTTAGATTTTTTTGAGAAGATTTGTATCCAAGTATCCTCCAAGTCCACTTAGTGTTCCACAACAACCATTCCTCGAAAAATCATTGGCAATATAAAGAAAACTTATTAGTTGATTAAACGAGAAATCACTTAACGCAAGAAAAGCAAAATCACAATAAAAGTAGTTTAAAAAAAAAATCTAGGACGAGCAAAACGAAAGGTTAGACCAATCAACCACTCACAAAAAGCCACATATACTATTTCTCGACCATATATTTTTTTTATTATTATCAAAACATCAAATTTGCATTATTAAAACTCAAAATGTACAAACTTGGTTGTAACCAACAGATTACATGTCCATACTTCTCTACTACCACAAGCTAGTCAAAGAAGATAGACCCGGGGAATTTGAACATTACCCCTGAAAAACCAAACATGGCCATACACAGAAGCTACTAACTATTGAAAGACACAAATATACACAAAAGAAAGACACATCCTACCAAAACACTTCACCAATTATCCTCAAAACTCCACATTTGCACTCCAGCTAGAAGGTTGAAAATATCTTCAGTCACCACAGCAACCTCAGATTTGAAAATAGCTTGTTCATTTAGCTTTTTCCTCAGCCTCTCATCCTCAATCCTGATAACCACAGACTGCTCAGAATTTGGCTGGTTTTGAAGCAACCAGTCCCTGATCCTGATTAGCACCTCCTCCTCTGATTCTTGTTGTGATGTTATTGGTACCCTCCACTCCTGCACAACCCTCTACAACTCATAAACTCTGCCTTTTAGTTTGGTCCTTTATGTAGAGGCTACATTAGCACTAAGGCCATTAACCTGGCCCCCTACTCCTTACACTCTTTCTGCTTCTTGGACCTCTACTATCAGGCTCTCCTGCATGATCTTTGAAGGCTTTGAGATCATATCAAATTCTCTCCACTCATGATATGCTTTATCTACTACAAATTTTTCATTACATCATTCCTTTCTGAATAACCAGCTATTTCGAGTTTTCTATAACCACCATAAAACATAGGTGGATAAGGAAATCCTTTCACTCCCACAGTTTTTGCAACCTAAAGAGACCACCTCCTCCCACCATCTCTGAAAACTCACTCCTTGCTCTTTGAATCTATCCCATTCTAATCCTGCTAGTTTCCAAACAGTCCTAGCCCTTGAGCATGTGAACATTAGATGTTCCAGATCCTCATTTTCTTCCCCACACCACCCACATATTCTATCAACAGCCCTTTCTTCTCAAGATTTATTTTAGTCCCTAAGGGGGTGATTGTTTATAAATTGAATAGTAAAAAAATCAATCAAAACTCAAAAATAACTCAAATTTAACTCAACCTCACTATCTTCAATATTATCAATATAATTAAATAATATCAACCAATCATTTTTACACGCCACATCAACTTTAATTCACTATTCATCCACTCACATAACTCTAACTAACTATCACTTCCAATTATTTTTTTTCCACTTTACATCAAATCAACTTTAATTATTTTATTTAAATATTATTTTAATATATCCACTAACAACTAACTATATCATTTTTTTTCAAAATTAACTATAGTTAAAAACAAACCAAATAAAAACCAATTCAATCCATAAACAATCACACCCTAAACAATTATGATAGCACCTCCAAATAAAATTTTTTACCTTGGCTTTTATTGGTAGCTTCCATGTAGCCCTCCACATTCTCTGCATGCTTCCATTTCTAGAACTGCTTTCCCCTGAGTCATTCTTCCCCTTCTTTAGCCTTTGGATTGCAGTGTAAGCCTTTTTAACCGTAAATAGGCCTTTCTTGTTGAGATGCCACACCCATCTATCCTTCTTTCCTTTTTTGCTGATGTGAATTTTTAGAATGCTCTCTGCCACCACAGGATCAAAAGATTGGTAAATTAGTTCTTTATCCCATTGCTTCTTCCCTTGTTGCATGAGATCAGCCACTTTTTTTAACTTGAGTCTGTCCTCTGAAAACATGCAAATTGGTTTAAACATGGGATGTTTGGGATCGAAGGGGAGTCCCAAACATCAACAGACATCCCATCCCCCACTAAAAACCTAGCCCCCAACTTCAAATATTTTCTAACCTCTAACCACCCCTCCCACATCCAAAAATCACTATTCTTTTTTTTTTCAACCTCCCAAATATTGTTTTTTGACAAATACCTACCTCTAATGACCTTACTCATCAAAATATTTGGTTTAGTAATTACCCTCCAAAGCTGTTTAAGAATTATAGCCTCATTAAAAGTTTCAAAATCCCTAAATCCAACCCTTCCCCCCCTGATTTTGCTGTTGCTAACCTAGACCAACTCATCCAATGGATTCTATCCTTTTCCTCAACAGACTTACCCCACCAAAAATTGGCATCTCCTGACAAAGATCATGACACAAACCCACATGCAACTTAAAGACTAACATAACATAGACTGGCATAGCAGAGAGAAAAGTTTTAATCATAATTTCTTTCCATGCTTCACTTAAAAAAGTATTTTTCCAGTTACTCACTTTTGCCCTCACACACTCTTTCACAAAAGAGAAAGTATCTTTTTTAAACTTACCTATACCTAGTGGAAGCCCCAAGTACTTTGAATATCTGGCCACAACAATGCCTTGAAAGAAGTGGCAGATATTGGACTTAACATGTTGAGGAGTGTTGCTGGAGAAAAATATACTAGATTTATGCATATTGACTGCCTGACCTAAGACTGCACAATAAGAATTGAGAATTTGCAGAATAAGGTTAGCATGATGCACATCTGCTTTACAAAAAATGACTGCATCATCCGCAAAGAAAAGATGGGATATGCAAGGAGATTTTTTACTGATCCTAAAACCTTAGAAACCTTGAAAATTACAAGCCTTATGGATCAAGTTAGACAGAGCTTCAGAAACTATTCTAAACAAGTAGGGGGAAAGAGGACAACCCCGTCTCAATCTTTTAGAAGGAGTAACCTGTCCCAAAAGCTGGCCACTGATATTAAAAGAGAAACAAGAAGTAGAGATACAAGACCAGATCCATTTCAAAAAGATATCATTGAATCCCATATGTCTACAGACCCTAATAAGGAAAATCCATTCTACCCTATCATATACTTTTTTCATATCTAGTTTTAAAGCCACAAACCTATTCCTACCATTTCTCTTACTATTAATATAATGAATGTTTTCATTTGCAATGATACAATTATCCAAAATTTACCTATCAGGCACAAAAGCTGCTTGCGATTGAGAAATACAATGTTTAAGGACACTCTTTAATCTATTGGCTAGAATCTTAGCAAAGAGTCTATATGTGATTGTACAGAGACTGATAGGTCTATAATGCACAATTGTTTTTCCTTGCAGCCCCATCCCCACAATCCCCATTGGACTTTCCTCAGCTTTCTCTGAAAATCATAAAGAGCTGGGCCTTGCACTCTTTCACTCCATATTTTCTTGATACATTCCTGATATCCTTCCATTGAGACCCATCTACTATCAAACATAACCTTCTTTTGGCCCCCTCAACCTCTCTAGCATTCTCAAATAGCAGCATGCTATGATCTGATGATGCCATAAGAATGTGTTGAACATAGGAATCTGGGAAATGGAGTAGCCATTCTGGGGATACACAGACCCTATCAAGTCTTTCTTCCTTTTTTTTTGGGG